GATTTAAAAAATTTGAAGCAATGGATTTATGAAAATCGATAAGGGAAATCCCACACACACACACACACACATACACATACGTATGTATATATACATCCAGGAAATAAAAAGAAATTAGATAAACAGGAAAATCTAAGATGTACGTACACACAATGACATAATACACGTACACACGATCAAAGACCTACAAGTTAAATGTTTGATATTCATATATACATATATTCACCTTCATAAATCATAATTTATCTTGTTTCAAACAATTATCATGTGTCGTTTACTTTTAATTCGCCCCCCCCCTTCCTACCCCGCCTATTTTCGCTTAGTTGACATTTTTATTTTTCAACAAATTTGTACAAATCAAAATGTGATATAAGTAAACAAATGAGATAATGGAAAGTAAGGGGAAAAAACATCCAAAAGAGTCGGCTTATTGTATATCTCATTACCTACTGTTGGCAACTTATAAATTTAGGTTTCAGAAGGATACTGATATGATAATTAGTTTGAATCCAGATGGGTTCGTATTGATGAAGAGCCTCCAACTAGGACGAAACAGCTATGCAGGACTCCCTACTTTTTCACTGATTTCTTTAACAGATGATCGACCCTAGAAACAGTCGAATCACTGCAAACCAGTACTTGAAAACGAAGCAGTAATTCAAGTGTTAGGTTTACAGGGATTTGATTGGTGTCAGAATTTCATCGTGAAGTGGTATTGGTTAGTGACTATTGGGAAACTTGCACGGAGTACTGGATAGCTGTTCTATCTTAGTTTGGGACTCTTCGGCAGTAGGCAACCACTGAGGTTTGGACCATTAAGCCACTGGGACCCAATCCAGTAGCCAGACCATGAATTCAAACTTCTGCCGATTCATGATATGGCGCAACTACTAGCGAATGTCATCGGTGGGTGAGTATTTGTCATCACACCAGAGCTGCCGTACCCCACTGGTCACGACATTCTGGGTTCTTGTGAGGATTTCCCCACTTAATGGTCTAAGAACTCGCAGTGCATCTGGAATTTCCAGGGTTCAAAACTCATTGGATGTATACTGATGAAGAGTCCTAGATTAGGACAGAACAACTGTCTAGTACACCCAGGTTTCCCCAATAGTCTTCTAACAGATCTCAGTCATTGATGAAATCCTGAAACTAACCAATAATTGTCGAATGCCTGTACATGGTAAGGGCTTACTCTGACAGTTTTCAGATTAAGAATTCAGCTTTTAGTCGGGTAATTGTTTCATAATTGTAGATGACTGATTTGTAATCAAAGTGATCTAAGGAGAAGAAGAAGAAGTTTCTTTGACTTCACAAATCAGTGCAAAAAAATTTTAAAATAAGATCATAAGTCACTTATTATGCAACAATATGAGTAAAAATGATGAACTGGTGTGATGATTTTTCCTTGGAGTTTATTTGAATTCAACCACTCGGAAACAGATATTTGGTGACTATAACGAGACTGTGAAACACACATATCCTTTGAGAGTTAGTGATACTACCCAACTATTCAGGATAAAATAGGTGAAAAGGAATTGGAACACTGGACACTTTGATTGTAAGCTGGATGCATAAACCAATGAGCTGCATCACCAGCATTCAACTTAGTTTTTATTAGATGGAGGGTTTGATCATGAGTTGACATCAGTTAGAGAACCACTGGAAAACCGACAGGTAGTACTGAACAGCCAATTGCTTCGTCAGCCTCCTTTTTGACTACTCATCAGTACGCACCCATCTCCAGGGTTCGAATCTGATTACGTAAGGCGAGCTAGTTCATAGACCATTTAGCCACTGGGACTCAATCCAATGGCCAGTCCATGAATTCTAACTCCTGCAGATTCATCACATGATGTGACCACTTCACCTCACCTTCAACCTGCTGTACCCTACTGGTCACAACTACCCACTATAACCTCAGGTTAACTGCCTGAATAGTGCCAGTCGTTAGTGAGCATCAGATTAATTTTCAAGTATTGGCTTTATAAGGATTTTTTTGTTTGACTGGTTGGAGAATTTCATCATGATGTGGGTTCGAACCCTGGCGGTGGGTGCGTACTCTGAGGAGTTCAAAAAGAGGCTGACGAAACAACTAGCTCTCCAGCACTCCCAGGCTTTTCAGTGTTTTTCTAACTGATGTCAGCTCATGATGCAGTTCTCCAATCAATCAAACAAAAAAATCCCTACAAAACCAATACTTGAAAATTACATTTTTGTTATAGAATAATTCATTATTCTATTTTCCAGTGTACTACCATCCCTTGTTTTAAAAAGAAAAAAAACACATTAAATTTCCCCGCCCGATTTTGAATTCGAAAAAAACAAACTAGAAAAGTAACAAATGCACTCGATAAATAATAATAATAGTAGAAGGATTTGATGGGGCAGATCTCTAATACCTGAATATAAAGTATAGGTATAATTTATTATTCTATTGATGATATAATTATTATAATCATGAATTTGCGTGTTTTTGTTGTTTTACACTGGCTTTAGATATTTTAGAAGTATATATATTTTCCCCACTTTTGTTTAATATTTGTTAATGTTTGTGAGTGTGTGTGTGTATGTGTGTGTGGAGAGGAGGGGTGTTTATTTCTCCAGGCTTAATAGTCTTTTCGTTTACACCTAGTTTTTGTTGGATGTGTATTATAATCACACAACCTGATTAACGCCTTCGATTAGTTACTGATTTTTGGAGTATATCTCATAGGTAAGCAGAAAAAGCAGAAGAAGTGAAACAATCACCAATTGTTGCACACCTTAAAATTATTTTATTTTTTTAACAAAATATTAGGTAATACCAGGGGAGAGAAGAAGAAATGATGGTGAGGTGTGGAGACAAGAAAAACAACAGATGGGAAGATGAATTGTTGAAAATGATGTGGAGAGAATTTAGAAGAAGAAAGAAAGGCATTAGAAGTGATAATTTTTTTTGTTTTTGTGTTTTCAGTTCTTGTGTTACTGAACTCTTTTGTTTATTCTAAGCTTCAGTTTATCTCATTTAAGCGATCTGTAAATCTATGAAGAAAATTGAGGAAGAAAGGGAGGAGTAATAAAGGCTTAGAAAAGGTACACATCCTTATTGCTTTATTCAACTAGGGGAATTTGAAAGAACAGAAGGTTAGTTGGCCAGTAACTTACAGAAGGTATAGAATGCGTAAATCAGAAATGAAGATCTGGGGTGAGTTTAAGTTTTATTCACACTACACACTGCCTCTATGCGTAACAGAATAAACAGAGAGAGAAAAAAAATTCTCACCTTATTAACAATTATCATGCATAAGCATGAAATTGTTTTCCTTTATTAAAATAAAAACGTGTGGACACCTTAAACTTTTTGTCACTATTATTATTATTATTCTTAAAGTGATAATCATTCGTTGGGTATAATAAATATTACTGCTCAATGTCCCATTTTATTTTGTCTTTTTTCTAAAAATTCTTTTCACACTTATTCTGTAATATTTATTTCATTTATTACTTAAGGTCATTTTAAAAGAGTCTGGGTTGGTTTTTAGTTGCATGTTATGAAGATTTATGCATATATATATATATATGTGTGTGTGCCTGTGTGTGTGAATTAAAAACAATAGTTTTATTTAAAAAGTCTGGTTTATCTCTTTTCATTTGAGTGTATGCTAATGTATACATGTGTGTATAGGTCCTTGATATTTACAGTTCAGCCCTGAGAATAGGTTGTTGCATTTCAGTTCCCAAAGTTTGGTCGATCTCCGTTGGCATAATGTCGCTTCTTTAGAAGAGGCCAGCTGAAATCTATAATAGATTTGTTCATTGCGTATTTCTAAGTGATGGCTTGCAAGTATTTGATTGGCTACAGGTTTGATCATGAGCTGACGGCGGAAGTACTGAACAGCTATCTAGTTCTAGTTTAAGACCTGACCTACAGGGTTCACTAAGTCGGGTAGGAGCACAGTTATCCGCTGACGACATTGGCTACTGGTGGCGCTATTTATCGTGAAATGGCAGAAGTTGGAATTCATAGGCCAGTAGCTGAATAGCATACGAGCTCGCCTTGTAACCGAAAGATCCTTGATTCGAATCTCAGCCGGTGTGTACTTCTGAAGGAAATAGTTCTCCAATACACCCTATTTTTCCAATGGTCCTCTTATTTACTTAGTGTTTGTAGTCTTTAGAAAGAAACCCACAGCTTCCTAATTTTCCCCAATATTATGAGCGACAAATATTGACGAATTTAAATAAAAATTTATGATATACACGCCTACACAAATGTCTATCCCTTTTCTATTGCGTGTCGCATTACTGTAATTTTATTAAGTTTTGAAGGATACCGCGAAAGTGGCCTACTCCGTTCTATTAAATAAATTTGAGTTCTCTTATCACTACAACCGACCTACGAGTATGTCATTTTTTGAAGTACATTTTTGTTTATGATAAAAATGCATAGTCACGGTTTCGTTATCTAATAAATTAATTTAAACTCTTACAGTACTGCAGGTAACTGTTCCATGTAATGCAATCGCTTTCTCTTCACTATTCAATACTTTTGTCAGTTATCGGAAGAAGTCAATCGGGCTGTCATTTAATATGTAGTCTTAAAGACTAATATATAACTGTGGTAATTTAACCTGTAGATATAGAAGTAATGAGGCATGTTTAATCCGTCCGCGTAAATTAAGGGAAAGCGAACTGTTTGAATCACTGGGATACCTGAATTTCCATACATCACAGTACTTTATCTAAATATGTCCTTGAGCCGCAAAATGTACTCAGGCATAGTTTTGATTGACCTTCAACCACTGGGGCACATTTCTCACAGATGAAGGACAAATATCATAAGGTGTTAGTCTACGCTTCAGATGATAAATCACTCTAAGAATCCTATACGTTGTGTAAATACTTCGTCCAGAATAAAGGTAATATTATATTTTATTGTTGTGACTGTGAGAAAAATATTTTGCATAGCTTTAGCGATTTTAATAGGCATAATTATTAGAAGTAACCAACTGACTTACTTGTACACGTGATTCTGTCAGACCGATACGTAGAGCTAATTCTTCCCTCATAAAAATGTCAGGATAATGAGTTTTTGAAAATGCCCTTTCCAGTTCATTCAATTGATTCGGTGTAAATCGAGTACGATGGCGTTTTTGTTTCATACATGCATTGCCTGATGACAATTTCCCGCCTTCTGATGTATTATGACTACTCATAATATTACAATTGCTACTAGTATTACTTATATTACTATTGGGAGTAGTTTCACTATTGTCATGCATAATATTATTACACTTTTCATAATTTAAATATTCTGAGTTTGTTTCATTCGATGAAATATTTGATGATGGTCCTGTACTGTCATCATCATAGGTTAAGTTTAAATCTTCCAGATTAGAATATGTACTATTGATATTTGTATGAGTAGTAATAGTAGTGGCAGCAGCAGCAATACTTGACTGAGTAATTGCTTGTAGTTTTTCTATCGCAGACAGATGACTTCCATATTTGGGATAAGTGATATCTTGTTCGGGAGTATAGATTGGTGCAGAATGAGGAATTTGTGTTGGAAATTGTTGTTGGTGTTGTTGTTGTTGCTTTGATTGCTGTGAATGAGATAAGTGCTGTTGTATTGGAGATTTTATCTCATAAGATGATGAACTATTCAAATTTGGTGGACTAAATATCACATTGATCTGATCACCTTTTATACTTCCATTCTCCAGAACACTATCATCTCTTAGTTCATTTACTGTATCTGAATGAAATTGTTTTCTTTGTACAGGAGATAGAGATTTGTTTAAATTATTAAATATTTGATTTGGCGGAATTTTAGAAATATTTAAAAGTGTATTATTGTGATGTTGGAATGAATTAATTTGTTGAAAACAAGATGCTTGTGAATAGATTGACATACGTCGGTTTGTTTCCTCTAAAGTCTAAAGTGAATAAAATTGGATGAAAGAAAAATCAGGTTATGCATGAGAAGATGGTCTGAACCCAAGCTTTGAGTGAATATTTAATCTAATGCTCATTAGCGACTGGCCCTATTCAGGAATTTAACCTGGGGTTCTAGTGGGAAGCTGTGACCAGTAGGGTGCTGCAGGCTGAAGATGAAGCAGTAACCCATTTAAAAAGACATTGTGAAATCGTTGCGCAATGCCGTGAACTGGCAGAAGTTAGAATTCATTCCCTAGCAATTGGATCGGGTCCCCGTGCCTCAATGGTCAACGGGTTCGCCTTGTAACCAGAAAATTGTGGGTTCGAACCCCTATGGTGGGTACATACTGACGAAGAGTCCCAGACTAGGCTGACGAAACGGCTGGCTGTTGGTTGGTTTTCCAGCGTTTCTCCAACTGATCTCAGCTCATGATGAAATCCTTCAACCTATCAAATACAATCCCTACAAAACCAATACCTGAAAATATCTAAGTTCTGTTATTTTCTCACAACTATCCATTTATCAGTGTTCGAAGATGAAGGTTGTAAGCTTTATTAATTCAGCTAGATATTGATGAGTGAACTATGAAGAAGATAAAATTAAAATAAAATAAATCGACTTTTTTCATAAGATTTTCTTCAGCTGCATACAGTTTGAATAATTTAACATATTTATGACTTCAGCAAAAAATAATGGACATACTTGATGTGAAGTATCAACGTTTTTCGAGAGATTAAAAGATATAATCTGAACTTCTACAGTGAATTGGAAGAACAATAAACTAAGAACATGCTGGCTGTCAAGTAAGCTAAAGTTTTACATAATGGATTGTGAAGTGAGTTCAATTACAGAACCTTTGGAAATTAAGTTGTACTGGACATCTGGTTCGTCCGTGTTTTAGACTCTTTAGCAGTATACATCAGTGATCCTACCGGAAATTAGATCCAGGACCTTCAGGTTACGAGGTATGTCAGTTGACTATTCAGCCATTGGGACAGAATTCATGATTTGCATGTGTTACATGAACCCCTTGACTTAATTGCATGATGACATTTAGGGAAATCGTCACGGTAAACGGGTAAGATATGCTTTCTTATTGAAAACAGACATGGTAATATCAAGATAGTGGTTTATGCAAGGGCATATAAAGTGGAAGTGATATTGTTAACAAAATTATTTGAAAGTATGAGGTGTCCGTAAATTCTAGGATGATAGAGGGATGATTAATGTTCTCTTCTAGACAGAAATTAGATTACAGTTTTAGGATGGATATCATTCAAAATATTCGAATTGTACACAAATTCTCTTATGTGAGTGTTGAGAATTAGTCAGCTTAATTTTCCACGTTATGCGGACTCAATATTTAGAGTACATTTAGGTGAATCTCTTGGCATACATCTGTTCTACAGTTGCAATAGTTTTACTTACTTTCGTATGTACAGTTGAAATGAAACTCGACCTACTTATAATAACAGTTAGTCTTGTTCGAACTGATCATTTGATACGATATCCCCTAGAATGCCTTACAGTATGATGCTCAGAAAGGTTTGTATAACCAAGAATTTGAGTTACTTCAGCTTCAGTTCGATTTGTTTTACTCTAAATCATTCGAAGGATAAGTTTTTATATAGTCCAAGAAAAATATATATAGTTTGGTTTATAAAGATTAGTTATGTTTTACGGGTTGATCACGGATTGATATCAGTTGGAGAACCATTGAAAACCAGGGAGTACTGGACAGCTGCTGTTTCATCGTAGTTTGGGAGTCATCGTCAGTACGCACCCACTGGGATTCGAACCCGGGACCTTCCGGTTACAAGGCAAGCTCGTATACCATTCAGCCACTGGGACCCAATCCAATGAATGGTATACGGGCTTGCCTTGTAACCGGAAGGTCCCGGGTTCGAATCCCAGTGGGTGCATATCGCCAATGATTCCCAAACTAGGATGAAACAGCAGCTGTCCAGTACTCCCTGGTTTTCAAGTGGTTCTCCAACTGATATCAATCCGTGATCAACCCGTAGAAAATATATATACCCGGTAGTTCCTAATTTCTAAATGACCGCATTCCCCACCCCACCCCAGTAAATAACACTTTGTATTTGTTCAAATCACTGTTCAGTGGTGAAACAATCTGCATATATTAAAAAATATATTGGTTACAGGATTTCATCATGAGCTGACATCAGTTAGAGAACCATTGGAAAACCAACAGGGAGTACTAGACAGTCAGCTGTTTCGTCCTAGTTTGAGACTCTTCAGCAGTGCGCGCCCACCGGGGTTCGAGCCCAAGACCTTCTGGTTACAAGGCGAGCTCGTATACCATTCACTTTGTAACCAGAAGGTCCTGGGTTCGAATTTTAGGGGGTGCATACTGATGAGGGGTCCCAAACTAGGACGAAACAGCTGTCCAATACTCCCAGGTTTTCCAATGGTTCTCTAACCAATGCCAGCTCATGATGAAATCCTGTAACCAACCAAATTCCTACAAGACAACACTTAAATAATAGATTGTCTGACCTCAGTTAATGACTCTAAGTTCATTCACCTTTAGCCTTCTATTGATTTTGCATGACACAAAAGCTGGAAATAAAAAGGAAATTTGATACAAATTCCAAAGAATAGAACAATCGAAAGACAGAAACTCACTTCCATAAAGGAAAATAAAGTAAGATTACGTCTTAATAGGTTGGGAAACCGCTAGTTTCGGATTTAATCGACTAGGTTACATGTCATAAATTTCTTCACTATAAGAAAACCGATATTTCGAAGCATACAAAAAAAATAGCTAAGAGAAGGTAGAAAGAATAAAAAAAACACAACAACAACTAGAAAACCTTAGAGCCATAAAATTCTAGTCATGAAATGGCCCTTGTTTGTTTATTTTCCCCCGTTATTTATTTTATAAACCGGAAGATTATAAGAAATCACTGTCCTACTTACTGAATGATAGATAACTGACTAGTAACTAGACAATATTATTGCTGCGTGCCTAAATTAATCGCTGCAGCTCTTATTACTACTGTTCTATTATATCTAAACATGGATTCACTCTACATTATTCATACAATGAGAAGAGAAGAGAATAGAAAATAAGTCTAAGTGGATAAAGAGCATTTATACGAATGAAGTTATTTCCTTCTGCTCTTTCAACTGTAGTTCCTCAGTCTCTGAGTGTGTGTGTGTGTGTGTACGTGTGTGTTCATGTATGGATACACAAAATTCTCTAGAATTTATTTATATATTTCTCTTTCTTCTCACCATAGTGATAAAAGAAGGGAAACAAGTCGAAAATGGAACACTAAAGACAACAAAATATCAACTGAAGACGAATATTACTCTGTTTTTTTTTAAAAAAATACTTCTTCACAAGCAGAGATGATGATGCTATCTGTGAGAATAGTTTGTTTGTACAACTATGCGTGTATGATATAAAACTGCCCAGGAATTGTTTAATTATATATATATATATATATAACCGCCTCCTATAAGAATGAAAAGATGTATCGCCAAGAGATTGTAGTAGTGTAGTATGAGTTAACCGGACACCTGAATATTATAAGAAGTCATTTCACTACTACTTAAACACGAACCTGCATATTCAATTATTCTCTTCCTACTTTATTATTTAAAAAAAGATTATATCTCATGCCTAGGCTTTTAGCTTCCTTATTTAGTTTAAAACACACACACACACACACCATTTTAGAACCTTTATCGTAGAACCTTTAATGTACTGGATTCCATTATATCAGGGAGAGAAGAAGAAATTGAACCATCCGCTGTTTTTGTTGCTTTCTTTGTTTTGAGTTCTCAGAAATGTGGACAGGAAACTTTCGACCTAGGTTTTGTGCTAGTTGACAGTTACCAGTCAGCAAGGCGTATCTGCAACCTTGAAGGAGCTCATATCCCTTCTGAGTTTCGAACCGGTGTCACCCAGTGCTGCTTACAGTCAGAGACTTTACCACTGAGCTATTCGAGCTAGCAGTCGACCTCCTGTAGGACTGTATTGGATATTTTTGATTGATTGGACCCTAGGCAGTCAAACTTGTTGATTAGTATCAAGTAGCACGGAACCTAGGTTCAAGGCTTCCTGTCGATTGCTTCCAACCATCTAATGCCAGCTCTATTATAGATAAACGAAGCAAGAAAGTTGTGTGAGTAACTTGATATGATTATGAGCAATAGTTTGTGCCGGAAACATCATCGGTTAATATAACTGTATAACACTGTGTGATTTATCAAAATAAAATCTTATCCATAATGGAGTTATACTGTACCACAGTGCCCAAGTTTTATACATATATCATCTAATACCAACAGTTCACGGTGCACCGTGATGGCGATCCACCTAGCATGGTGGCCACTTCGCAAGCTTGACTGATTGAATTCCAGTATTGGTTTTTAGGGATTTTTTTGATTGATTGGAAGATTTCATCATGAGCTGACATCAGTTAGAGAACCACTGGAAAACTTGGAATTACTGGACAGCTGTCTCGTCCTAGTTTGGGACTCTTCACAGCACGCACCACCACAGGGGTTCGAACTCAGGACTTGATAGACAGAACCCTGATAGAATCCAGTCTGCACCGAAGATAGGACTAGACACCTTACAATATTTACTGACTAGCGTCCGGTGAAAAATATGTGATCATATTCACAAATATTTTGTGTTACAGACAGGATAACAGGATATCTTTAATATTCAGTACCTCTATATACTAAAATTATGCACACTTTATCTTCAATGCACCATTTGCACAGATCTTCCATGCTGTGCTACTTCACTCATATTATGCTTCTTTGTGTTATTTTCACGTCTTCCATGTCTCTCCGCAACGCTGAATCATTTGCTTTTTCTAACATCAAATTTATCTCCTCGTTATTTGATACTTTTCTGCCAATGAACGTTCCTTCATATACTACTGATAAACCTTATCAGTAACACACACATACACCACAATATGACTGAGTTGATGACAATTTCGATTACAAGTT